ACAAACTTACGTAGGTACCTCTTAAAAATCAAGTTCATGGCAAACTGAAAGGTCGACGGTGCATTGCACAACCCGAAAGGCATCACGAGATATTCGTAGTGCCCTTGGTGCGTGCGAAAAGCCGTCTTGGGTACGTCCTCCTTGGCTAATCTGATCTGATGGTAGCCCGCGCGTAGGTCGAGCTTAGAGAAGTAACGCGCGCCACCCAACGCGTCCAGCATGTCGTCGACGCTCGGAATGGGAAAGCGATCCTTCACAGTAGCCGCATTCAGAGCGCGGTAGTCCGTGCAGAATCGCCAGGTTCCATCTTTCTTCTTTGCGAGCAACACCGATGACGATAACGGGCTCGAGCTATGCTGGATGAGCCCGGACTCGAGCATCTCGCCCACCTGTCGCTCGATCTCCGTCTTTTGGAAGTGTGCGTATCGATACGGATGCACGTGCACTGCTCGACCTTCCTCGACCAAAGGTATGCGATGGTCGAACTCTCGGTGTGGCGGCAGCCCCTTGGGCTCTTTGAGGACCTGGTCGAACTCCTCGAGCAAGTCACGCACCTCGCGCTGTCTATCCTCGACCACTCGGTCGAACTCCTCGACCGCCTCCGCGTCCCTGCCTGTCTACTCGACCACCTGGTCGAACTTCTCGATCACCTCCGCATCCTTGCCTGTCTGCTCGACCACGACAGCGTACAACTGTCCGCCACCTCGCCACACCTTCTCGATGCTTTTTAGACCAACCTCCTTGGTCGATCCTTCGTTTGCTTTCAAGGTGACCAGCCCATCATCGGTCTCGAACTTCATCACGCCCTTCCGATAGTTGGTCGTCACATCCCCGAGTCCCTTGAGCCACTGAACCCCAAGCACCACATCTGGCCCTACCAGTGGAAAGGCAAACAGGTCCGCCTTTACCGTCACTCCTTAGAATTTGATTGGCACTCCCCGGTACACCGTCGAGCACCGTAGTCGCTCACCATTAGCCACTCGAACCCCGAATGGCTCGACCATGGACGTGGGTAGTTTAAGTTTGTGAGATAGCGTCGCATTAATAAAGTTGTGCGACGACCCATTGTCCACAAGCACAGTCACTCGCCGGTCCATCACTCATGCCGGCAATCGCATTGTCCTTGGGCCCTTGGTGCCTGCCATGGCGTGCACAGAGATCTCGGCCTCATCATCGAGCACCTCGACCTCCTCATCTTCCCTTTCATCCACAAATTCTGGCTCCTCATCACCTGCGTCAATAAACTCGATCAAAAAATTTTGCTTACACTTATGACCCGGGGTGAACCTCTCCTCGCACTTAAAGCACAGCCCCTTCTCACGCCTCCGAGCCATCTCTTCAATCGTCAATCGCTTGATCTCTGGAATAGGTGGTCGAATGTTGCCCGTTGGTTTGACCCCTGTATTGAACGTGTTCGTGCTAGTCGGCACCCGACGCGGTTCTGGGGCGCGGAGATCCGCCCGTCCCCTTCGTGTTGCGGCTAGGTGCTCATCGCGCCGTCGAGCAACCTCAATCGCTTTTTGCATGGTGTCCGGTTGCTCCAATCGTACCTCTGCAGCCAAATCGTACCTAAGTCCTCCAATGAATGCACCGACCAAGGCAATCTCGGGCCACCCTCGTACGCGACACGCCAAACGCTCGAACTCCTTTTGGTAATCGCGTAGAGTGCCTGTCTGCCTAATACGCGAGAGCGCCTCGTCATAGTTGAGGTAACTCGACGCTCCAAACCGCGTGAGTAATTCCCTCTCAAAATCGTTCCACATGATCGGTTGATTGCGGTTCCCGTATACGCTTGTGAGCCATTGCCACCACACGTTGGCCTCCCCGTCTAGGTAATAGGCCGCGTACCTGACCCAATGCCTCGCCGGCGTCACGTTCAATTCAAAGTATTGCATCGCCCGATTGAGCCACGCCTCGAGGTCGTTCCATGTGAAGGTCGAGAGCATTATTTTTGGTTTGTCAACCCTCGGCCTCTCGTGCATGTTGGACGCTTGCGAGTTCCACTCGGGTTCCTCCTCCTCGTGCTCCCACTGTTGTTCCTGTTGCCGTAGACGCTCGCGTGCGTCTGTGCGAATTCGCTCATGAGTGCGCGGCTGCTGCTGGAGTTCTTGAAAGTTTCGCCCCATCTCCTCAAATTTTTGGGTCATGAATTGCATCATCTCCTTCATAGCCACCTTGTGAGACCCGAGTTCTTCGCCCATGGTGGACATGGTCTCGGTCATGCCCGAAACTCGTGCATCAAGGCCATCGATTTTGTCCTTCATCTCTTTGTTGGCCATCTCCTTCTTCTCCTTTTTTCTTTCTTTGCTACGAGGACTCGTTTTGATTTTTATTTTTTATTTTTTATTTATTTATTTATTTTTTGAACGAAGAAAGATCAAACAAGAATATTAAAATTAGAATCAGGAGGAATAAGAACACACTATCAAACACCTCTCAATGAAAGCACCAATGATGAAGATCGTGTGTTCGGACTTTCGACAAGCCACGCGAGTGCCTTTAATCGATATAGGGTCCCGAAGATCCGTGTCCACAGTCCTTCGAAACAAGTAAAATTGCAATAGAACTCAAAGAAATCTATGCAAAGTGTTTGAACAAAAGTTCGGATTTTGTATTAAGAAGAATCAATTATTCTTTTAACAAGAACGAGGGGGCCTTTATATAGGCATCAACTAGATCTAGTCCTATTATAACTATAACTCTAATAAAGAAATAAAATATTAGGTGTCCTAAACAAACTAGAAAACAAGGAAATAAATCTCTAGAATATCTCTTGCTTGGGCTTCAAGCCGCCTTTACGCGCGTGCTGCTCTCGCGCGCCCGCCTCGCCTACTCCTTGCGTGGTTAGGCCTGCTCGTGCGTGAACCTCCTCGTCCGTACCCGCGCTAATGCTCCCTTGGCCGAGATTCTCGCGCGCGTCACCGTCTGCGCGCGCATGTCCGCTAATGAGTTGGGCCTGGGCAGCCCGTCGGCTTAACCTCCGTCGTGCATGATAAGCGCGGCTCGCAACATTCTTTAATCTTCTTGCCGTGTTCTCATCACACAGGCCAGCTGGCGGGCAGCGCGCGGGACTTACTTGGCCAGCAAGAAAAGAAGTTTCCTAGGAGTCTTTTGAGCTGATTATTCTTCCCTACTTGGAGTGCAAGTCAAGGCACAAGATCTCCTAGTTATTTAGTTTCCTTATTGCTTTATAATTTCTAGATTGTTTAGGATTCTTAATATTTTATTACTTTATTAGTTTCCTAGGTAGAATAGACTTAGATCTAGTTGGTGCCTATATAAGGGCCTCTTCCCCATGTTATTTTCAATCATTCAATCATCCAAGAAATCAATAGAAGTCTAGAACTTTGTTCTTCCAACTTTGCTTTAGTCTTTTCACCAGAATACTATTGCAATTTTATTCTTTTGAATAGGCGCGGTTGTGGCTAGAGAAACACTATCGGCGATTCAAGGCGCGGGTTAGCGGCGTATTGGCAGTCGAAACACATGATCCTCATCATTGGTGCTTTCATTGAGAGGTGTTGATCGTGTGTTTTTCTTCTACCCAATTCCCTTTCTTTTTTCTTTTCGTTTTTTTTCGTCCCCCTATCAAAAAAAAAAAAAAAAAAATTGTTGAAGAGAGAATCCATGGAGGAATACTTGAAGCAAGAGGAAGAGAGGTTTGAAAAGGTGGTGCGTGCGGGCAAGGGAAGGAGATTGATAGTTTGTGAACGAATGTTCTTGGAGGATGGGTATCGCCGTCATTACCCGAACAACTGCAAAAGGCCGTGGAAAGGTGGAGACAGGAGCTGCCAACATTCAATGGAGCTGACCCAGATGCATGGCTCAAGCAAGCTCTTGCATATTTCATCCTCGAAGATCTACCAATGAAGGATTGGGTTAAGTATGCTCCAAATTATTTTGACGGAGGAGCTAAAGTTTGGTGGTGATGGCTCTACCGCAACCGCCGCGAGCCAAATCGATGGGAAGATTTTAAGAAGGAGCTCATCGCACGGTTCAAGACCCCGATATATTGCCATTACGACGAGGCTCCCTCACACGAAGGGAGGAGAGATAACTTGCGTCACTACCAGCAGAAATTCATGGGCCACACCAAAGTCACGAAGGATACGCGAGAAAGCAGCAAGGCCCAAGGCGAGTCCAAGAAGGAGATGGAGGTCGAATTTGTCAAGCACGATAAGTATGAGGTAGAAATTACGGTCGTGTCGGTCGAGAGCGAGAAACCGCACTCGTTCAACAAGGAGGTTATGCGCGAAGCAGTGGAAGGGCGACTTAGATCTCTCGGCGAGGGCCAGGGCAACACCAACGCTAGCGTGGCACGACTCGAGCAACACCTAGATGAGGTGCTGCTGGCGTCCCAACAACAGCGGGATCATGACGTTCCGTCAAGGCACGAGAACCGCAGGCACGCCGAACACGAGGAACGCACGCCATCGCCTAGACGCGATGCGCGAAACGCGCAAGGGCGGGCCGATGGTGCGCAACGCCACGATGCACGTGAACGACCGTACGAGGAGTACGAACTCGAGCGACGGCGTGACGATCATGAGTTCGAACAACGCCACGACCGCGAGCAAGGCATGCACGAAGACGAGGTAATCGATGTCGCGAGCGAGATCATAGTAATGGACAAAGAGAGCCATGACGCGATGTGTAAAAGGGTCAAGGCGGTTGAAGAGGAGGCGATGTTCCAACTAGTGGTCAATGTCGAGAGTGAGGTCAAAAGGGAGGTGCCCGAGGTTTGGACGATCGAGCGACAACAACCCGAGACACGCGAGTTGGTTAGAGCAACCGACCGCATACTAAGCAAGTCCGACAAAGAAGAAGGACAAGTCGAAGGAAAGTGTAAGGAGCCTATCTTCCCATTTGAATTCTTGAAATATTTTAAGGATGTAAGGCCCATCGAGTACGCGAATGAGTCGACGGATTATGAAGGACCGCCTATTTTTGATGTATACCCTGATGAACACTTTGTTGAGGTCGAAAGAATTTTGGGCGAGTCTAAGAAAGCCGAAGTGATTGGAGTAAAGGAGAAGATTTGGCTTGGGAATGAAGAAGGTGTGCTAGAGGTTGAGGAAGAAATTGCGCACGTAGTGTACGAGGTGAGGACGCCCCAATTAATGATTGATGACAAGTCCTTGAGGACAAGGACATTCTTAAAGGGGGCGGGAATGATGCGGAAGTGGGTTTTGAGCCCCGAAGATGAGAAGGTCCGAAGGCTGATACTATCTGAGAAGGCCAAGCAAAGGGCCGGAACAAGGCTTGCATGGCCTAGGAGACGTGCACGAGCACGTATACGAGGGTGCCGACATGCACAATGGCATAGGAGGCCGAGCAAGAATCTCAAGAGATTGAGGCTTAAAGGCTTGGGTAACACGGTCGACTGGTGCAAGGCATGCGCGAGGGAGCGACGCGCACGACGTTTGGAGGCTAAGGTCTTGGGTGTTTACATTACGGAAGAGATAAGCGGTGCGCGAGGGGTGGATGTTGGGTGGACAGCGCGCACATGGGATGGCCGCGAGCAGGCGAGCGTACAAGCGGTAACATGCCCAAGAGCGTG